AGAAGAGAGCAACTTAGATCTTTAGCTTAAATCTTAAAGTATAATTTTGTGCATTTTTCTCTCCCCTGAATTTAACCATCATATTTAGACAATAAAATAAATATTATCTGTGTCTCCAGGAAGGCAGTAACAGACCGTCCTTAGGGCCTTCGCCATGGCTATTTGTTAACTGTAGTAGCCCTACGCAAAGTATTGTGATCATACCTACTTCTTGGGGTTGTTACTAAATTAAGCTCAAGCCTCTTCACAGAGCATCTTCAAACTGAATAGACGATAGCCAGCAGTCAGTGCAGGCTGGCTGTTGCCCACATAGCTGTGTAATTAAACAAAGCATGAACATTTTCATACCAGTGACAGTGACTCGCTTTAGGATCATCTCTCTTATGTCGCCTAATTTCATTTCCAAATGAGTATTTCTAGACAATCTTGAAATGTGTGAAATGAAAATATAAATGGGAAGAATACAAAATTCAAGCAAGACTGAGTTCCTTGCACGTAAGAGAATGCTAACTTAGAGCCGGTTGGTTAAGGGCGGGCAAGTGTGGATCCTCTGTAGAAAGGCTGCAGGTAACACTCTGCGCCTGTAACTCCAGCGGAGGAGGACCACTGGGGCTTGGTGGCCTGGGAGCCTAGATGAATGAGAGACCTTGTCTCCGTCACTCAATGAGGTGGGTCGGGACTAGAGAGATTGCACAGTGGTAAGAGCTCCTGTTGCACAAGCATGAAGGTCTGAGTTCAAAGCTCCAACACCCATCTAAAAAGCTGGACATGGCCACATATGCCATGCAGGTCAGAAGCAGGAGAATGACTGGAGTTTTCTGACTTCCAATCTAGCTGTGGGTTCCGTCAGAGACATGCATCAGGGGGATGAGACAGAGTGATATAGCAGGACACCTGGCATCCTCTTCTGACTTCTGGCCACCATCAGGGGCATACCTATCTGCACATACATGTGCAGATAAACATATATCACACATACATACAACCCCCCCCACACACACACACAAAAGAAAGTGAAGGGGAAATGATTTCAAAAGAAACCTAGAGTTGACCTTTGGCCTCTACAAACAAACACACACACACACACACACACACAAATAGGAAGACCTTAAAATGCCTACAACATACACAAAAGAATGCCAACATTTAGTAAGAGGTAACAGAAAAACGTATCGTATATATGATTCAACTACTCTCAGTTACTTATGACAATAATAATGCCATAAGCTGTCACATCTTCTAGTTACATACAACACGGTGCAGGTTGCAGTTTGGTCGCCTGATGTCTGATATAAGCTAGAATCAGCTAGGTTATTCCATTTTAAAACATGAATTTCTTAAGTGTGACTTCAGACTCTACTTCGGGTTGAAGGCTGTTCTGCCTACTCCTTGTTCTCCTTTTGCAAGGCATCTTCGTACCGCAGCCAACGATGGACGCATGGGACACAAATACAGTTATGAAGTAATTTAGGTATTGCCTGCATTTTGTCAGCATGCATTTCATTCTCCATGTCCAGTCAGATGACCAAGCCCAACATCCATGGAGTGTAAGTGTTTTCGACTCACAGAGGGAGGACATTGACATCGGGATGACCCTGTTACAGGGGACTAAAGATTTAGAACCAAGAATTTAGTCTGTAAAGTGCTGTGTTTGAACTTGTATCTGAACGGCTGAAGACCTGTATATAAGAAAAGCCATCTGCCTACCAGCAAGCAGTACACATCAGACTGCCTCCCCAGTAGCGCTGTGGATTTCCCTTCTCTTCCTGTTTCTGTATACAGCTTGGGGAAGGAACTCAAAATATCAGGGTAGCACCCCATGGCCATAATGTTGGGATTCTGCCCTTGTGATCCTCTCTCCATACAGAATTAGACCCACACAGAATTCCTGTCACAGCCCAGTCAGTGACAAACTCCATCTTCTCATATGAACTCATTCTGCAGCGAACATCCCTCATTTTATTTATGTAAACTTTATGAAATATACTCTTGCAAATAGAACAGATTTAATAAATATGGATTAAAAGATTGAGGGTCAGAAATAATGCTAGAGAAGTAGGAAGGATTCAGCAGCAGAATTCCTTCTGGGTATTCCGTTTTTCAGCGTGGGAAAGTAAAATGTCCTATCACACACAACATAAAGGCTGTGGAAATTTATCATCTTGAGTGAATATATGATCCTAAATGTATATTAACTGAGATAATTTAGTTATCTGAAAGCTAGCTTTTATGTGATTTTTTTTTTAAGCTAACAAAATAGCCCGGCGCGTCCCTGTTGGTATTGCTTCACATCTATTGTAACCCTTCTAAAATCCCTTCTAGAAACGAGTTTATATGCCCTTCCCCACTTAACTTTTCATCGTTTATATGTTTCCTGTGAAGATAGACAGACCAAGCTGTTCCATACCAAATGCTGGTAACTGAGTGATGTGATTCCCCTACCCCCATCCCTCCACACACCGGCAGACGTCCACTTTTTCAGTAAGAACTAACCCCTTGGAAACATTTAAAATGGATGGAAAGATAGAAGGCAGCCAAGATGTCCTTCTAAAAGAGCGAGATGCATGCTAGTCTAATTGCCCAAGAGTTCACGGTGGGCTTTGAAAGCAAGCCTTCTGCATTGGCGCCCCCTGCTGGATTTGAGCGTGAATTGTCTCTGAAATTAAAAGCAACCTGAACCTTTTCAGCTGAGGGCAGGCTTGCTACTAAAGCGGCAAATCCAAGCCTACGTGTAGGATGTGTTTTTTTCCATGACAAACACGCCACGCCGTCCAGTCCGTGAGCTAGCTTCCCAAGAGCAGAAACACCAAATAAAAAATTGCCAGTCGAGGCTTACCATAGGGAAAAAAAGCGTGCCGCTGGGATGTCTGTGTTAGGAAGTTCTGACCTGCATAGGACTGCAGAGATTACCAAGGTCCACCTACAGGGCAAACCCCTGGGGGACAGCACTGGGTTTAGGGGTCTGAACGTGAATTTCCGGAAACAGTTTTGCACATCCCTGTTACTTGTTCCTTTCCTCGCCTGTCTCTCCCTGTTAAGGACACTGTCTGTCCTCACTCCCTAAGGGACACAGGAACCAGACTAATTTTGAAGGCAGCCTGTCACCTACAGACTTCAAACCTATTATGAAATCTGTGTTATGAAGTCTGTCTGTTGGGGAATAGTTGGCAGATTTTTTTCTTCCTGCTTGACTCAGTCCATGTGGTAGGGAGGAAGGGGAGAGATATTTGCTAATTTTTTGGCATGTGCTCTTACACCAACATGGCCTTATTAAGGGAACAAGAACAACCATGATGGTTATTTCCTCCAAAGAGAAAACAAAAAACAAAAAAAACAAAAAACAAAACAAAACAAAAAAACAGTGCTGTCACCCTCAGGAAGAATTTCAACAGAGAACACCGCAGAAGCTGCGTGGTGCTTTTGAATACATCACTGACAGTGGTGGGTTGAAAAGCCCCCAGCTTCTCATATTCAAAATTGCTTTGTGTCCCTCGTGTCTGATGGCAAAGTCGAACAAACCGAGCAGATTCTGACGTAGTTAGGTATTCACTGACTGCGCTCTTCGTGGGTGGAAGCTGTCCAGAGGACTGTTTTTCAGAGTTATCTCGGTAAAGGCTTCTCTGTGAGTGCAGGGGAGGAGTCTCATACTTCTGCCTTTGTATCGGGAGCCAGAAGTAAAGCTGAGCCAAGCAGCACAGCACAGGCAGGCCTGTCATCCCTCCCAGCACATAGGAGACACAAGCTTGAGAAGAGCAAGTTCAAGGCCACACCGGGTACTGAGTGAAACCCTGTCTCAAAAGCCCAAATCCAAGCAGAAAAGAGTGAATGGTGGCAGATGATGGTTCTCAAAATACTCTAAGCAAATACGTGTTGGAGCCAGGGATGGAGAGGGCTCAGTGACCTTTCTACTCTGTGGCATTAGCTAAGGTGGTCATTCTGCATTCTACAGCCAGCTGGGATGGACTAGCAGGTGCCCCCCTGCCCCCCTGGCGTGTCTGTCTCCTCTGTTCTTGATTCCATGTTCCTTTCTGTCCGGGGGAGTCTATCCCGGACTGTCTTGTAGTTATGGCTCTTCTGTCATTTTGAGGATGGCTTGGAAATCTCAGGACAGCATTCCCACCTAACAACTCCTTGGTCCAAACAAGAGACCCCATAAGTCACATTCACACAGAAGGGAGCTAGGTGACACTCCCAGACAGATGGCCATGTGGACATCTCTACTTCGTATTGTCAGCTTCTGATTTTCAGTTTTCTGTATATGTTTCATGTTCTGCTTCTGTGTCTTTATATAAGGTAATCATTTCTATTTCCCTTCCCTCAAAAGTGTTTTGGAGATCTCCCCAAAATTAATTACAAAATCAGGCCTTTACTTGCCCTTGGAAATGTATTTTCCCTACCCGTGAATTCACAGCGAGAACATACTTTAAGACATAAAAATAATTAATTGCAGGCAGCCAGTCTCCACTGCAAGTGTCATTTATTTTATTTTTTTAGAGTTATACAATTGATCAACATAATGAATTCAGAACAAAAAATTTTCATAGCGTTGAAGTGTTAGACCGCTGTATACGAGATAAGTGAAAATAAAAATTTGGAGGCACACATCTAACAAAAGCATAAAAGACATAGAAAATCAGCCAAGCTCCTTACCCTGAGAGTTGTACTTAATTCAAAGCAGAAGTGGAGATTGGAAGTGAAACGTGTTTGGCATTTTTGGAAATGGCCAGCAGAGAGAGAGATGTTTCCGGCACCACTGAGTGAATATTGTTTACTTCAACATTCCCCCTAGCAAATCCACGGAGAAGGGTCGGGTATACATGGGCTCGTGTATGTGGGGGATTCTCCTGTTTCATGCCCCTGATTCATCTATCTGTGGGGCTTTTCAGGAGTCATGCTACATTGGTTGCAATTAATTTCAGCGTGGCATATTAGCCATAAGGAGATATTTCATCCACTGATTTGATTTTCTTTTTCTTCTCCCCCTGTGGTTTTCTTGAAAGATGAGAGTGGTCCAGAGGAAAAGCCAACGACGGGAGAAACGGAAGGGCAGAGCCAAGAAGCAGGTGGGCTCAGGTTTCTTTTGAGGAGTCTCCTAGGCCTCATCCACAGAGGTGAACAACAGCTCTACTCAATGTTATTGCCTGAAAATGCTTTGTGCCCTTTGCCTTGATTAACCCCAATGTTCCCGCTTCTCTCCGATCCCCTTAATTCCAAGTTGACGGCGCTCCCATAGAGAACGCATGCTCTTACCACTCCACTTTCCGTCTCCTTCATGTAATAACAGAGGGCTTAGGGATGCACTGAGAACTGTGGGCCAAAACCAGAACCACAGCATCAGACCTTGGATGGCTTAGAGCAGACTGAGCCAGAAAGGAGGGGAAAGGAAGCTAGATCTATTTGAGGAGAATGAAGAAAGGCTTTCTCTCCACACAGGGTGGAATGTTTCTCTTGCTTTTAATTTTGAAGAGCCATGTGCCTGGCCATTTCTCTGCAGGTTGTAGATGGTGCTATAGAGCCCCACCCACGTCTTGCTTCCAACAGCTCTAAGATCAAAAACCTTCTTGATATCACCCTGTTAAGAAAAGACAGCTGTGTCCATCAAATGTTTATAGATTTTACACTGTAGAGTATACCTTTAGCTTTTTAAAATAAAATCCTTGAGATTCAAAAGGGATTGAAATCATCTTCAAATTATCATACACACAATCACAGACACACACACACACACACACACACACACACACACACACACATTTCTGTCCTTAGGAATTTTTATGGCTTCTGGCATTATTGCCAAAATAAAAATAACCCCTTCCCCTTCAACCTCCAAGTTATTTCCCGTGTTCTATTGAGTCCCATAGGGGAGCATTTTCTTTTTAAACACTGGGCTCTATTACCTGTGCCAGCCACATGCTAGTCCACATGCTGAACTCTCAGAGTTAGACCAGGTAAGGTGATAAGTTTTTCCACCACATTGCTCTTGGGAGTTCTTGGAGTACTCTTGTGTAGCTTTTGGAGCCTGTCCTGGAACTCACTCTGTACATCAGGCTGGCCTCGAACTCAAGAGAGATCCTCCTACCTCTGCCTCCCAAGTGCTGGGATTAAAGGTGTGCACCACCACCACCCAGCAGAAGGCAAGCTTATATTAGTAACTTGGGAGATAGACGTGCAAAAAGCTAACCAGAGTAAGCATTGAAGCAACACAGGGAAGATCCTGCATCCCTGTTACCAGATCAGCTGGCTCCCTTTGCTGAAACATGGCCCTTTCCTCAGAACAGAATGAATTTAACTGTTAACTGTTAACTGTTCTTGTCCAATCGTTGCTAGGCTCTACCCACACACATTGCACTGTATTGAAGATACAGCTTGCATGGAAAGCTGTCACTGTTTTTACTATTCAGGGGTGACATGTATTCGTCAGTCAACTGCTGGCAACCAAGACCATGCATGATCTGACTGTTGAAGTTCTATAAGTTTTGCTCACTTCATGTTCTGTTTGTTCCTTTCTGTCTTTATCAACATTGATCTTTCTCCCGTCACACACACACACACACACACACACACACACACGCACACACTCACAGAGGCACACACAGAGACACAGATAGACAGACAGACAGACACACAAGTGCCATTCTTTCCCTCTAAATCAGTTGTTTTCTGGTAGTTTCATTTTTCACTACCTTCTGTGAGTTCAGAGTGAAAAAATCTGAGCCTTCTTCTCCACCTCTGGGATATAAAAAGCATTACCACCCAAAATGGCTGCCTCTCGACCTTTTACCACAGGGTCTCCTCTGTGTTCCTCAGTGGCGCCTCTGCTCACCCAAGACAGTGGGATGACTGACAGAGCCTAGCAGCAGGGTTCATTCCCGATTCTGTGGCCAGTGTCACTAGATACTCCTCTATTCAATTTGTCATTTTGCAGCCTCCTCACTCAGACGACAATTGAACATGTGGTTCTGGCTGTTAAAGCCCCTTGACCTGCTGTTAGTTTCCAAAATATAAACATCTTGCTTTCCTTCAACATAGTTTCCAGTGCCTGTGTTGATTGCATAACTCCACAGGTCTCTGCCACGTGATGGAAAAACACAATCTCAAAATAGCATAATTTACAAGTTCTGACAGCTGTCACCATCAGATCAAACACAGTAGCCTATAGTATTTATCAAGAAATCAATAATAAATGTACATTGAAGGTTTATTGCCTCCCCAGCATTGCATGTGCATTGCAAATATTTCAGTTAGTTCTGAAAATCAGCTGAGGAAATGTTGCTTAAAATGAACTCTGAATGCTGAGATGGTGAAAGGCCATTTTAGATGCAGAGGGCAGATCATAAATTGGCCTCACAATGTGGGGGAGGTGCAGGTGACTGGAGTAGGGTGGGCCCAAGAGATTAGAGTGGGAGACATGGTAAGACATCGTAGGACCAGACTGGGTCTGACAGCCTGTCCTTTGACTTGATGACTTAGAGAACTCAGCGGGAAGTTTTAAATATTGGAACCAATGATCGATGTATTAATGAACTCATTTTGCTCATGAATGAAAATGGGTCCAAAGGGGTAGAGTTAGAAGATGACTTCAGGAAAGCAATGATAGATGATTCTGGAAATGGAGACAAAAAGGCTGAAATGTGGCACATTATAGAAATAAGAAGCAATAGGATATGCAAGCTAAAGGAGCTGGGTGGGATGCATTGGAGAAAGCAGATTCCCACTCAGGTCCTAGGAGCATAGCTTCCGTGTCTGAAGGGACAATAGGGCCACTTAACTGGAAGATGTTTTGTTGGAAAAGTTAATGGTTTAGTTTTTGTATCAACAAATGTGAAAAAAAAAGTACAGCCAGCCGTATGGGATGTCATGTTAGATAAACAAATCTATATGCAGGAGACGTGAATACTGCACTTAAAGCTTTAGGAGATGCTGCCCTTTAGGGGTTATTTAAAGTCTGGGAGTAGAAGGCTATTGGATTAGAGAATATGCAAATGTCAAAGGCAAAGGAGCTGGGGTATCACTGACATCTAGATCTCTGTCAAGAAAAGCAGAAGCAGCCAGAACAATGACATGGCTTTGAAACAAACAGGGATGAACTGGGAAGTGCTATTGAGAAGACAAGTCAGACAGACAGGGAGAAATCATCAAGTTGAAAGTGCTGTCGGCAGAGAGGGAAGCTGAGGCAGGAAGAGGGCAAGGTCAAGATCTGTTTGGCCATGTAGGAAGACCTGTCTTGAAAAACGAAAGGCAAAGAAAGCAATGCAGGAGTGGTGGTGGTGGCAGTCTTTAGATTGTCACGGGAAGGAGGCTAGCACCTTAGGTGAGGGAGTTAGGAAGACCGCTGGACAAGCACTTGAGTGGCAGATGCAGAGTCTCAAAAGTAAAGACAGTCACAAAAGCTTTTCTCGGGGAGTTTTGCTCTGAAGGGAGATGGAAATGGGAAAGTGCTGTGACCGTAAGGGAAGGTTAACGGTCTGTATGATACGCGCGTACGCACACACATGCACACTATCCACCTTCTACAGATGATGTTATTCTCTGTCCAAGAGAGATGCAGCCTAAAAGTCACAACCATATATAGCAATACAAATGACGTGCTAGAAAATAAGAACATTTCCTTGAATTATGTATTTTCTCTTTAAGTCTGTGGCCGAGTAACTATAAGAAAACCGTGTATATTGTTTTATCTGTTGTGAGATGCTTTTTAATAAGTTCTTGGGTCCTAATTCTACTGTTTTCATGGTCGTAGCCAATCATCTAGCATTGCGGAGGCCAAACATGAACCAAATCCCCCTGACTCTGAGGAGACCAGTAGGAGAGACCATCTCTGACGGTCCTTAGTTGTTACTATGAAGGGGACAGAGTCCTTCCTGTCCTTGGTCCCCATTCTGTAACTGGGTGATATGAAATCCCTGTGTGTCTGGACCCTATTTTGAGTGCTAGGCTTCTCCCGGACTACAGTGCTGACTGGCATGGAACTGCTCTGTCCAGCTGGACAGCGAGCGGATTGGCAATCCTGGGAAGTGCTGAGCTAAGAAAAGGCCAACTAAAAATCACGCATATGGGGGCACTTTGTAGAAATTTGCATGGATGTATATTACCATACACCACAAAAAAATTCTGTGTATTTTTTTCTTTTTTTTCTTTCTTTATGCCTTTGAGCTCTTACTCCTCTTGCTTTAAGTGCTATAAGGAAGCAAAATACAGTTTGAGTTGCGGCATAACACAGCCGACAAGCAGCAGCTTTCGTCCACGCATGTCTTGTAGTTCATTGGCCTCTGTCTCATTGAAGATTTATGCTTTATTAAATGATAAAAAAATGCATCACAGCCCTTTGTCCCAGAAGACTATTTGGTGTATGAAGGACACTGACACCTTCACACTGACACCTTCATTGGTTGGGTGGGGAGGGAGCTGAAGGGAAAGAAAAGCCACAGCCTAAGGTATTAAGCCTGAGACAATGTTTTCTCTGTTTTATAGATGGTGTCCACACTGCCCCTGTGCCCAGTCCTGCTTCAGAAGACACAGTTGAAGTCCGTCCGGATGAAGGTATGAGGCCCACACCTAAACTCCACAGACCCTTACAAGGAAACTGTGTAGGTTTTGTTTATGTGGGAAACTGAAGGAGCGAACAAAGGCGAGTCTCCTAAGTGCCTCTATTTGGAACACAAGGATCTCACCCACTCTGCTCCATCCCATTCCCCACCAAGCCTCTTCAGAGGCTATACATTTACATGTGTTCCTCTAAAAATAATGTTTATAAAATAAGGGCAGGAGCGGAGAAAGTGCGGTTAGAGAGAAATGTTTATCTGAAACTCGGGAATTTGTCGATTCTGTTATTTGTCATTTCTCATCGGGCATACGTGTGAAAGAGTGGCATTGAGGACCACCCACCAGAGGCCTGACAGCCCAAGAAGTATTTGAAATATTTGAAAGGCATCCATAAAGATAGACTTGAAGCAAAGTCACCATTCTATGGACCATCACTAAGAGAAAATGTGGCTGACCAAAGTGAACCAAGAAAAAAAATAGGAGAAATTATTACTGTTTTAAGGATAAGTGCTGAGACACAGGGATGCAAACTACTTTTAAAAAGAATCATAAAGAAAAATAAGTCTTCCTTTCTCTCCTCTACCTCCTGATTGGTGGGTAAGTCTCACCCGGAGATATAATTTGTGATGTCTGCTGTTAGTAGCTACTAAAGCCCAATGTGACTGATAGGCTTGACGATTATATTGGGCAAATGGTGTCTTGTAAACCATATCATCTACTTGGAACTTCAGAGCATACTTTGAATCCATTCCTTCAATCAGATGTGATGTGAAACAGGTGCACATTGCCACTAAGCCTTGCTATGCTTTGTATCTATTGAGGACATCAAAATAGCACTGCCATTTTAATACTTGCTAGACGGCATATATAATTCCATGCCCATTTCCTAGTCAGTTTTTGTTTTCATCACATGTAGTTGATGGTGGTTGATAAGAGTACCAATAATTGAATTGTACGCTGGAGGCTTGATTCCAGCTCTGCAGCCAGTTACTTAGCTAACTCGTGACAAACAGTTCAAGTCACGAACAAGTGCTTCACAAGCAAATCCACAGTGAACTTCTTGGGACTTTAGTTTTTCCTTCCAAAGTGCGGACAAGAATAATGTCTACCTTGGGGCTGGGTGCATGAAACAGTGGATAGAAGCACTTTCTATGCCATTATAAGCTGAGTTCAGATTCCAAGCACCACATGTGGTGGTGGCACATGCCTGTAAACATTACATGTAGGAGTCAGAGGCAAGAAGGTTAAGAGTTCAAAGCCAGCATCAGCTACACTGTAAATCTGAGGCTAGTCTGGGATAAATGAAACTCGGTCTCAAAAACTAAAAAACGAAAGAAAGAAAGAAAGAAAGAAAGAAAGAAAGAAAGAAAGGAAGGAAGGAAGGAAGGAAGGAAGGAAGGAAAAAAGGAAGGAAGGAAAAAAGGAAGAAGGAAAGAAAAAAGGGAAAGGAAAGGAAAAAAGAAAAGAAAAGAAAATGAAGTGATAAAACAAAACCAAACCCACTAAGTCTCAGTCACCTATATACAGGCACATCTGTAATCCCAGCACTGAGGACAGCAGATCACGGAGGCTCACTGTCTACCAGATGAGCTCCAGATTAAGGGAGAGACCCTGTCTCATGAGAATAACTCTAAGAATGGTAGAGGAGGATCCTTGGTGACATCCTTTGCTCTCATACACACACCTATCACGTGCACACACACACACACACACACACACACACACGCAGCACTCAGAAGATAATGTCCACCTCACTAACTACAGCATAGGTGAGTTTCTTTCCTGTTTTTCTAGCCAAATAGATCAGACTTCCCAAAAATACAGACTGAATTAGAGTATTAGGAAGTGGCTTGTTTATCGGGGAGATAACAACTCCCTTAATAGAAAAAGGAAGGGGACAGATCTGGCTGAGAGAGGTATTCCCATGCACCGTCAGAAGGGATCAATCCCAGCTGACGTTTTGGGAAGCCCCAAAGATGTACCAAAATGGGCAAGATAATCCTGCCATAGATTCTGGTACTGGCTCTCCTGGGATGTGTGTGGCTGTGAGTTCCTTTCTATTGAAGGAATCGTGGAGACCAGAGGTGGATGACATCCGTTGGTGCCTGGGAGAATTGTTTCTTCCCAAAGGAGCTCGAAGTGACCCAGCAGAGTGTCCACCACACTGCCATCATCTTGAGTGATCCTTTTTCTTTTTATTGCCACTTTTCAAATGACACTTCCTTTCAAACCATGTAGGTGTACGTTCAGGTATCTCTTATTTCAAAATTATTTGACATATCTAAAAATGTAGTTTGTGTCAGAATTCCTCAGAGATTTCTTGAGAAACTCAGTCATTTTACAGAGAAATAGACTGACCGGGTAAGAGAAAATATAGAAAGAAAATATAGAAAATGGTACTTATTTTAAGCAAAAAAGGACATCTCAATCATTTAGTTGTTCATAAAAATGTAAAAGCATCATGAAATTGAGTGACAGAGTCTAAGAAGTAAGAAAGAGGAATAATCTAATTTGAATGCTTCCCGCTGAGATTTCTTGCTGTTGAGTTGTTTAGCTGGGAGACATCACACCTTCATAAAAAACACTGCTTGTGATATTTCTTGATGCTTTTAGGATCTCACACCGTTAATTGCTCATGCAGGGATCAATTATTTTTCAGAATACTTTCAGGATTTTTTTTCCCCTAAAATAAGACTTTTAATGGTGCTAACTCCATCAAAGAATTGTCATGTATCACAAATGTAGTTCCTTTGTGAGACTCAATGTGAAGATTTAGGGAATTTTGATGAAATACATTGTTAATTTCCATCAACTTTTTTATTTGGAAAATGTGTGTTTTGTGATTTACTTTAGTATGTAGTGTGGTTTCATCTAACAGTCGAACATATCGGGCGAGGACTTGGCGTTCATCTTCTGAAATAGCATTCCTATAAGGGCACTGCTTTTAAATGGGCTATCTGTTCAGAGCTCAGACTCTAGGACTTGCCAAGCTGTCTCCAAGATTGACAGATGCACAACTTAGAATTAAGAAAAGGAATTTTCCATTGAAATCATCCAAGATGGAGGTCAAGTTGAGGTTAAAAGGAAGTCATAAGTGTTCAGGATTCATTTCAAATCTTCTCTGTTATTAGCCTTCATGCAGAAATATCTGTCCTTGGTGACACCAGGGCTATTTCAGAACCTCACAGTCATAAGATCGCTTAGACAAATGCTCATGACACTCTCCAGTGTAAGTGGCAGAGCATTTTTCGCTGATCAGAGGTCGGAAAGGAGCCCTTGTTCTCTTGATTTTTTGGAAACTTCACTCCCAAAGGAGCATCTTGTTGGGGCTTGGAATCACCCATGGCCTGACATGACCAGGTTCTCAGTATCGTGGGCATCCCAGTATGATGCCCATGGTGCTTCTGCCATGTTCAGTGTTTACAGTTTTGCTTGTCAGTTGGCTGGGTTTACATTTGTGAAGATTTTAGTCTCCTCTGGAAGTCAGCATCTTCTCGAATGGAGGAGTTGAAAACAAGCAAGTGGAAAAAAAAAAAAAAGGTGGCTGTCTTTATTCCTGGAACAGAAGGTATTATTTCTTAACCAAACAGTTACGTGAAAGTTGAAAGAGATCTCTAAAAGTGTTAGGACTTAAGTGTCGTCTGCACTAGTGATTCTCTTTGAGCGCTGCAGACAAACTTCCCACTAGGAAGCAAGTCTGGGTGCTCTCACCCGCTTACCCCACCTCACTGCTGACTGGGAAGCTGCCGTCGCTATCTGCTTGCAGATTACGGCAGACTGCAGTCCAGACACTGACGACACCTGTTCACAGCGAGTCACTGCAGCTGCCAAGCGGGTGGGAGGTGAGCGGAGAGGATGAGATTTGAGGAGGAGGAACGCTAACAGGTGTCTCACCTACGCGGTGTAGATGCCAGAGCCAGGCTTGATATGAAATTCACCGCAAGGGGAAGCCGCCCAGGGAAAATACTTGTGGCCTTTGATCGGCTTTGGAGATTATTATTGTAAGATAGGACGTGAACGTATCTATTGAGGAATTCTTCCTTTACTCTTATGGGTGCTCTTTTTAAAGAATTTTGTACTTTAAATTCTGAAAGACGATTTCTATTCGAGTTAGCAAGCATGGAACAATCAGATGAAAGTCCATAAAACACAGGGTTCAAATGCACAAATAGCTAGTGCTGTGCTCAAACGCTTCTGAAGAAGTGATGCTATTGTTAAATGTACAGTTGTTTGTCTCCTTAGGTTGGGGAGCAGCCTCTCTCTCTTAACTGTCTCCATGTTTTTCCTATGTCATCCTCATCCACTCCAAGACACCTTACCGGGGAGCGGGCGGAAGGAAAGATGTACAAACACATCCGGATTCACCTGCCTTATTATTTAATCAGTACCTAATTTGAATTTGAAGGTCAACTAGACCAAATCATAGGCTCATTAATATTGAAATCAAAATCAATTAATACCCAGGTGCACACCTGAGCTGTGTCCCTTCGGAACTCCATGAAAGTCACGCCGGTGCTTTTTGGCATTTAGAAGGTAGAATGTCACCCGAGAAGGGAGTTCTGAACGCTTTAATCTAGCTTGAGACTTCATGGAGGTCAAAATGACTAGAGAAAAAAGGAAAACTGGATTGAGCTCAGCCATGGTAAACGGAGCCAAAGAGGGAAGATGAGGTCGTGGATGAGGAAGCTGTGGATAAGACGTGATCATCAGTGGCGCCATTATCATTATTAGCCTGACAGGTAGATGACTGAAGAGAGACAAAACACTGTGCCACCTAATAATTTACCCTCCACCTTAATCTACCTTTTCGTAGTCCCCTTCCTGTCCTTATTATCCACCACTCTCTCCTGAGAGCTTTGTTCTGATCCGGTTCGAGCTGGAACAAAACCTGTTCCATATCTGCATGGATAGAGGGTCTGGATTCATTTGGGTCCATCTCTGCCACCCCCTTTTGGCTTGTCAGTCTTACTAAGCATTGCTGGAAGGCTGCCTCTGGT